TAGCTAGGTGTGTTACATTATTTCACTGAAGTGTTTGAAAGCGTCCTCGTGTCCGCGTAGCATCGAGCAATGTTCACGATACAACAGTACAGTCACACGCGCCTCGCTCGATCGTACTGGGCTTTCAGTTTCATGTATATTGGTATATCCAATCCAATGTACTCTGTGCACTGGGCTCGGGCGACGCGCGGGGTGAGGTGAGACGCCGCCGCGGGGAAGGTCTGTTTTGCCGACGCGATCACAAACTACTTTATCGACTCCGTGGACAGGTGGTGCGGCGGGGTCGAAAAGTTTCATGTTTACAGTAAAGAGTTTACTTGCAAGCGCTCTTTGTAGTCATACACGATCAAGTCTACCGTCAAGTATGCAGCGCGCTTGAAGCGGCGTCCGGTAAACTTGACGGTGTATGCACAGAGTACTGCAGAGTACTTTTATATATACTGAAATAGAGACGAATCTCAAGCCCAAAAATGAATTCACGAATGTGCTGCCGTCTGGTGGTGTCGGATGGAACAATTTATATTTATCATATAGCTATATTATACACGTAGTATATATAGCTACTATATAGTCCTTCATACTATACTAAATTATTGTTCCTTTTACTTATTGTAAGAAGTTTTTTCTTTTTACTTATTGTAATAAATTTTTCTTACAATAAGTATAGGTTTTGAGGTAAAAATAAAAACTCATTTCAGAAAGTTAAGTAATTTATTGAACAAAACGTCTTTTTTATATTTGTGGAAATATTTTTTGGCTTTCATTTGAAACACATCTTCATTATTGTGACACATACAACACATAATTGAATATGAAAATGCGGCAAGACAAATTTAATAAATACTTATTTTATTTTACATAGCAAAAAATCAAAATCTACATGAATTAGTACCAAGATTTTTATTAATTCTTCAACATTGTTTCTATCTAAATATTTTTTAATACTGAATTTGTTATGTCTTGCACGGCAGATACACACACTATAAGAGACTCAGTGGGACTGCAAAGCCACCGTTTACCTGCATATTCCCAAAAGTTAATGATTTCATTTTCTTGTAAGGCGAATATTTTAGCAGTACATTCACTACAATTTTTAAAAACATTTTTAGCACATCTAGCAAAGTATCCACTAACATACTCTAATGCCCCCTTTATATATGGAGCAGTGTTCTCTTTAATATCAATTATATCTACATCCGGGATTGTTTCAAGGACACAGGTTGCAGCAGCTTTGCAGTTATCTGTGATGATAACAGATTCTAAAGCCTTACAATTATCTTTTTCACAATTAGCTCCTGGACATATTGTTAATTAAAAGTGTAGTGTAGGCACTCTGAAAATGTTCTGGTGTTGGATTAACATTGCGACACTCATAGCTTCTAATGGTTCCAAAAAAGTTTTCAATAGGGTCTTGGTTGAGGTGCCGCATCCAAACAGAAGTAATACCATACTTAGTTTCCAATTTTTTAAAAGAATTAATACACCAAGTACTCACTCTCATGATTATTAGACATTTTATTTATAAATTTCATGTTATTTAATATAGCTTTTGCTTCATTCCACAACTTATGGTGTTCTGAGTTTGGCCTTGCTGGTCCAAGAAGAGGCTTTACATATAGTATTTTCTTTATTATAGCTGCCATTAACAGAATCGAATACCTTGTCAAAAAAGAGGAGAATTTCGGCAGTTTCCGCATATTCTCTTGGAAGAATGCCTTTTCTGAAAAACAAAAAGTTAATTAATCCATTAATAAACACTTGTATTATCAGAGCACGGCAAGGTTTTTGTGACTTTTTTCTTCTTTATTGGCCTATTAAAGTTTACTGCTGGACTTGAGCCTGTCATGCTTAGCAGGCGGCTTGACAATCATAGATCTAGACGTGAACACCTTTGACGCAGCTTGTCCATCGTCAATTTGGATTTTACGTCTGGCGTAAACGAGATGGTTATACCGCCGACTAAACAGAACTCAAGAGATTATTTGTCATATCCCTTATAACATAACACCCATGGGACGAAATGAGGTGATGGGTTCTCTGTTTTTATTAACACACAATTTTTAAGACTAAATACATAATTTAATTTAGTCATGAATACATAAGACTTACACTGGACTGATTAAAAGAATAGAAATATTTTTATTATTATTATTCTAATACAAGTACAATCAATTGTGTCAAATACAAATTATTTATTAATAAACTGATATTTTACAGTACACTATTATTATGGTGACGAATTTTTTCAGTACGGACTATAACATTAAATAAAACAAACAATTAATCATCATCATCATCATCGTTACAGACCAAACATAGGCCTCTTGCCTCTTCAATAAAAATCACAAAGCACGGTCCTTAGCCACCTACATCATATACCAGGTCATCACTCCAGTGGAAGTCCGCCTAACTACAAAATCACAATCTTACATTTATTACATATAATAATATATTAATATGGATATCAGCCTACAGCCGTCCATACCAGGCATAGCAGATTACTTTAAAAACATCTTAGAGCAGATGCAAGAGATTTTTGATAATATGTTTAGTTTAAATCTTATCAAATTACGGAATATACTTACTTCCAGAGTCCATGCAGCCGTGAACACAATACTTTTTACTAGAAATATTGAGGAGATGAAGAGTCCCTGTCTCTAAAACAACACTCAAAATATAAGAATCTTTGTCTCAAACTCTCATAGACGCAATAATTTTAATTATGTCTGTATGACGCCCATTACACGGTAGGTTTTGCTGTCAGTTTTACAACAATCACGGTTGTGATTGAAGAATAACCTATCGTGTAATGCGGTGATTGACGGTTGCATGAAATTTATTGACAAATATCTGGATATTTTGATTTTTACGTCAATCAACTATCAGTCACGAATTTTGATTGAACGTGTAATGGCATTTCGTCAATCACGTGTCAGTCAACGCTTAGACAGCAATGGAGGCGGACGCAGAATATATTGAAGAGGCTGCTTCTACGCGCTCGCGTAGCCCGTCGCCACTCCTACCAAATGTGTTTCAGCCAGAAAAAGATTTTATTTTAAATTTTCAGTCTCTCCCCGAGTTGTGGGACACGAAAAACCTCGGGTAAGTTGGATGCCCCTTATACCAGCCTTTCCGCCTTTTTACTTCGTAAATAAGATTTCTAGTAATCTTAACTACAAATATGGTCGGCTAAAAATTCTTCGTAATTAGAGCAAAGTATATTTCAAATATTACCTCACAGTTTTAAACCTAACAGTGTTAAATTAAACATCAAAACATGAGCATATTTTACATTAGCTCATCTTTAGGCTTTTTGATTTGTATGAATGTGACTATAGACATAGTAATGCAGCTATTTTTGTTTAAATTTATAAGTTTTTTATTTTCTTTTAGTGGAAATTAATGGGGCTGTAATTAGATATACGAAATTTATGGAGTGCATAATGTTAGTCGCCCGACTGTTATTTGGTTTGACGTAAATAATAAGAAGTACCTTATTTCAACCACGTAATATAAATCAGGGCGGTCATAAACTAGAATAAATACCATTAATTTGAACTCACACAGAAAACCAACGGAGAATAGCAGCTTAACGCTGCTGTGTTTCGTATGGTGAGTGTAGAGAACCGGAGACCCTTTTTACTGGCAAAGAGGCATTCCATCTTAGTCCGCAGTGACAACGCGGACTAAGATGGAATGCCTCTGGTGACAACGCATCTGCATCTTGAGTCTATATTGAGGATAGATGTAGATGTCTATGGGTCATAGTAGCTACTTACCATCATGGACTGTGTGCTCGTTTGTCACCCTATCCTATATAACTCACCATACGAAACACGGCAGCGTTAAGCTACTATTTTACGCTGGTTTTCTGTGAGAGCGTGGTCCTTCCCCGGTCGAGCCGACCCATTCGTGCTACAACTATACTACTAATATAGCTGCAGCATGGCTCTACCATGTTAAAATACTTGTGACATGCATGATTTAAAATTAAAAGTTGTTATGAATTTATTTCAGTGCCCCTAAAACTTATCTACAATAGCTACTTACTAAAAACTCAAAAGGCATAGCCCTATGTTATGCTGGCATTAGATACACAAAAGGAAATTGAAATTGGCACTAAAAGGCTGGTAATAGGGGCATCCACCCTATACGAATAAATGTAAAAGTTAAGCTTATTTTTCGTCCATAAATGCGTTTCAAATAAAGCCGCGTAATGATTATGCACTCCAAGAGGTCTAACATTTGCGCGCGTTAAATTAAAATGGGTAAAATGATATTAAATATTACAATTTTTCCTATTCGTTTTTTTTTTCTTTTTCTTTTCAAGATATAAAATTATAATTAAATGGTGAATCGAAAATGAACTTAGTTTGTAGGTACGTCCTTTCACTCCGAAAATTTGGGTTTGACTGACGATCAGTCTGCATGAGCGTGTAATGTCCAAATTATTCCAACATTCAAACCTCAGTCATGATTGATCGAACTGATTGACGCTTGCCTAGGCGTGTAATGGGCGTCTATGTCAGATTGGAGGAATTTGCACTCAACTCAATGCGACCATTTTCAAATGTTGTCAAATAGGTTGTTGAACCTCATAACCACATAGCGTTTTAATTTTATCTTCTTACATCAACAGAGGCGACATCTTGTGCCAACAGATGGATCTAGTACATTATAATACAACAAAATCTAAAAACTATACGTTTGATAGACTTTATATGTTCTTTTGGTTCATCTAAATTTAGTATAATAATACTTGCGTTTTTCAAGCATTAATGTACTAAGATTCTATGCCCTGGGTGTATGGCTGTGGGTGTGCATGACAAGTCTACTTGAAGGAAAAATTGAATTTCGATTCTGCCGACTTGATCAAGCTTGCAGCGTCATGCAAACTTGAACGTGTGTATGAGCGGTCAAGTATGCATGACGTAACGTCATTGACGTTAGTCGGCTTCGGCAAGCGAAGACGTACGCATGTACCGCACGTGACGAGCGCCATGTCGCAAAATACTGCGCGTTATAGAGAAGTCCTCTGCGACTTCATTAATATTTATAGAAATGAGCCATGTTTGTGGCAAATAAAAAATAAATTGTACCACAGCAGGTAACTGTACATATACTCGTATATATTTACAACGCAACCAATTAAATACTTTTTTACTTATTTCACTAAAAGATAGGAAAATTAATGCAAACGTGAACTACCTACTCGTAATAAGATTTTATTTATGTAAAAAGTAAGAAGTCTTGAGATGTGATAACGAAAATATAAGTTTCAAAGATGTTTTATAGGTCATAAAACATCTTTGATAAGTTTGTTTTCTTTTATTTTCTACTGATTTTTGAGTGTTGCATAGTGTTATCCGCTTTTGTTAATCGCTTTTACAACAAAATTCCAGAAAATATACAAAATTTGACATGCTCAAACTTCAAAAACTTTATTAAACTAAGTTTGTATAAGAACTGTTATTATAATATTAAAGAATTTATAAATGACAATAACCCCTGGAAATGAGGTGATCGCTACCAAGCTATTAATAATTTGTTGTGTTGTTAATTCGTGTAACATAGGTACCTACATGATTGTAAGCTGTTATTTAAAAAAAAGTCCCGCTGGATTTCTTGCTGGTTCTTCCCAGGACAGAGGTTTGTTTTTCGAACCAGTGGCAATTAAACAATAGTGTGACTTTCAATAAGTATTATTTCAAATCTATATTGAATAAAAAAGTTTCTGTTTCTGTTATTAGTAATACCCGCGCACGTAATTAAAAATTGTAAAAATACCCTACCTACGTTTAATGTAATTTCCAAGCCTGAGCTTGAGTAGAAAAGTCGTTTCCCTAGGTGTATAATATATTTATTAATAATTTATAAGCCTAAGATAGCTAACGCATCGTCGTCCGTCACTAGTGACGCCATGGTTTCAACCTATATATAATGTACTCTGTGGTTTCAACTGATGCGGCATCATGCAAACTTGACGGCGAACTTGAACGTGTGTGGCCTAAGGTCAGGCGGGGCAAGCGCGCCGACGGGGTAAGCGCGCCTACCATAAAAATATCGAAAACTACAGATATAATACAACTAACGACATCTTACATCCATGCAACAAACTAAAACACAGTTCCACTTCACAATCACAGATGCCTCAGTTCACCATAACTCGATGTATCCGCCATTTCGGTTTTAGTGTCATTTGAACCTGTTACCAGAGACGAGCACGTGTTACTAATCCCCTTAGATCTTAAAATATTTTACGTATTGCCGCAAACCAATGAGATGAGTACAGAATTTAATTGCTTTTCTTTAAATCTATGTCTGTATTTTCGCCCTAGATAGTGAAATTAATATTTTTTTATAGAATTTAAAATCTTAAGCTCAAAATAGTCAAGTGAGGCAAGTGCGCCTAAGTTCTTAGTAGTATGGCGCACTTCCCCCGAGCCAGAAGTAAACTTTTATGATTCAGATATTTTCTTACCCGACGGCCTCTGAATAAGGGTAATATTTTTCTGTATTGAGAAGTTACTGTCTAGATGTCCTTAGGGTTTTGTGATGAGAAGGCGTTGGGTGATGGGTTTACAGTAAAAGCCTCGTATTAAGTCTATAAACTATTTTTAAATAAGTAATTTTATTTGTATTTTCTTGGGATTTGCTTTTGAGACGCTATTATTATATAACTCGTTGAACATTAGTGCAAACAGTAAAACCAACGTACTTGTCGTTTCCTTTGTTCGTTACTTTATGCGCCCTTAGGTGTGCCTAAGCTCCTTAATCGGAAGCGATAATCGAAGTCAAGCTACTTTGGATGGGTGGCTGGTAAACTATCGCTCCGGCTGTTATCATTCAACGTCAGTCTTTAAGCCATTTTAGAGACCTTTGGGTTTTCTGAACAACTCTCACACTAGGTTGCCCACAGATCTCTCGACAACAAGGAGCAGTTGGATACTTACTACAACTGGTTCTAAAATTATTGTCTTTTTACAGATGGTTCGTACTTATCAAAGAAAAACCGATAAGCCTTCTTGGTCTAGAGGAACTTTATGTCAGGCAATTGACGCTGTCAGATCAGGCCTATCCGGATATGAAGCAGCGAAAACTTATGATATACCTCGTAAAACAATCATGGATCACGTGACGGGTCGAAGGGGCCAAAACTCATCAACACAAGGTAGACCACCAGCCTTGTCAGCTGAAATTTTTTTTTTTTTTTTTTTTTTTTATAGTATAAGGTTGACAAACGAGCACACAGTCCACCTGATGGTAAGTGGCTGCTGCGGCCCATAGACATCTACATCTATCTTCTATTACAAATCAAAATGTAGATGCGTTGTCACCCGTGAGGACTAAGATGGAATGCCTCATTTCCAGTAAAAAGGGCCTCCGGCCACCTGCACTCACCAAGCGAAACGCAGAGGTAAACCTCTACTTCACGCTGGTTTTCTGTGAGGTCGTGGTACCACCCCGGTTCGAGCCGGCCCATCCGTGCGACAGCAAAAGCTGCCGCGTGGCTCTACCACTGTTTATTGAAATAGAGTTAGCTAACTGTCTACATATTATGGAAAGGCATGGCTTTGGGTTAAGTCGGAAAGAGGTATTAGAACTGGTTGGCGAGTACGTTAAAAAAAATAACATAAATACACCATTTACCAATGGCATCCCTGGAAACGATTGGTTTTCTAATTTTATGAAACGACATAGGTTGTCAATAAAAAAACCTCGAGAGAGATAGCCCGTAAAAAAGCGGCCGACCCTTTCATTATACAAGAATTTTACGACATTGTCGAAAAAGTTATTAAAGAGCTAGGGCTTGAAAATAAGCCAGAGAGAATATATAATATTGACGAAACAAGCTACTGCAGCGACCCTCAAAAAACCAAAGTAGTCGGCTTAAAGGGTTATCCTTCAACTAGAATAACATCATCAGCTGGTAAAGCAAACACAACCGTCTTGGTTGCCAGCAATGCAGCTGGAGGCAAAGGGCCTCCATTTATAATTTTCAAAGGTAAGCATGTGTGGAGTGGATGGACATCTGAGGAAGCATATCCTGGCACTTTATACAGTGCGACATCCAATGGTTGGATTGAATCCTAAGTTTTTGCAGAGTTTATGGCAAAAAGTTTCATTCCCATGGTCAAAGATGAGAAAGAGCCAACCCTCCTAATTTATGATGGTCATAGCACGCACGTGCTATATAATATGCTATAACTGGCTGTGGTCAAAATGGCGAAACAAAATAATATCACCATTATTAAATTGCCACCACACACAAGTCACCTTCTTCAACCACTTGATCTAAGCGTATTCAAACCTTATAAAGACGCTTGGGATCACGAAATGGTTAAATGGCAACGCACACATAAGGGCGAAAAGTTACCTAAGGATCAATTTTCAGCGATAGTGGGAAGAGTTTGGAAAAATCTTAATTCCAATGTTATAAAAAAAGGGTTCGAAAAAAGCGGAATTTATCCATTTAACAGAAAAGCTGTAACGGAATATAAACTAGACCCAGAAGCCCTAAAACGATGGAAAAAACACCATGAAACCTTATCGAAAAAACAAACACTCGCTCGTAGTTCACCATTAACCTTAACCAAATTATGCCTGAATAAAATTAACTCTTGTATTAAATTAAACTCGAATCTAGTCACCATTTTGCCAAAAATCGTTAGTTCAAAATCTTCTGAGAAAATATCTTTTGAAGATTTATTAATACAATCTACCAAACAATCGCAAACTGCCAATGTCAAGAAAAAGATAGTTAAAATTTCCGCAAGTGCAGAGGTGATAACGCATCAGGACGTCATTGAAAGATTGAAACAGAAGGAAGACGATAAAGTCAAAAAAGAACAAGAAAAAGATGAAAAACGAAAGCAACGAGAGCAAAAAAAGAAAGTTATAATAAGTAAACAAAATGAGAAAATTGATAAAGTAAAAGTAAAGATAATTGACGAAAAGAGTAAAAATATAAGACTGACAAAAAACAAACAATCGTATGTTACTGACCCACCAAGCTCGGAAGTAACTCTTTCTGAAATAATATTACCTAATTCAGACTTGAACGTCCGTGACCCGATTCATTTTTTACAAGACGATTCTTCAATACTTAATTGCCTTGCAGGCTCCTCAAAATCACCACCGCCCCTGACTTCAAAACCAAAAATTGCTATTTTAGAAGACAGATATTTAAAAGTTGATGAAAAACTGACCAAAGATATTTTTACAGGACATAAAATGAAACGACCAGCAGACTTTACTTTACAGATACATACTTCAAAAAAAATTAAATATGAAAAACAAAACAATCCCATCAAAATAAAAACGAAAAAAAAGCAAAATAAAATTAAGATAGAAGAAGATTTAGAAGAAGACAGTGACTTTACGATTCATGATTCAGATGGTTCAGATATGGACCTAGAAAGTTACCGTAATATTTACCTAACAGAATATAAATCAGATGATGAAGAAAACGTATATACGGATTTTGGACTCACCGATATCGAGTATTATGAAAATACATCAAACAAATTAAAGAAAGGTGATTGGGTTCTAGTCAAGTTTTCGTCAAAAAAAAGTGTAAAACATTATGTAGGGCAAATTATTAATATTAATGATGACATTCCAGTGATAAAATACGTACGAAAAACTCAAACAAAACAAAGAGGTTTGCTTTTTGTCTATCCTAATGTGGACGACATATGTGAGTTGAAACATGTTGCAGATATTGTGTCTGTGTGTGTTGTGGGGGATGAGTCTCTCGCGTCCGTAGGCTTCGACCACCTAATCCTAGGCCCACCCTACACGTGTCCCCCGGGTGGTGCTAAACGAACGACAAAGCCGAAACGACAGACTCGGCTCCTCGCCGTATGGTAGCGGCATAAAATCTACCACCACTTAGTTCGCACCATGAGCCAAGAAGGAAAAGAAATGGCCCCGAGTTCCCGGCGCCCCTTTAATGGGGCAGGGGTGCGAAGAATCTCCGGGAGAAAAACCGGCGACGAGGTTCGCCACCCGTCACGTTCTGTCTCCCGGGGGGGCGAAAAGTGGATTGCGGAGGCCCGTTTGGCCACGCTGAATGTATGTGGAGCAATGAATGATAAGATGGATGAAGTATGCGAAATGATGAATGATAGAGGAATAGATGTGTTATGTGTAAACGAGACGAAACGAAAGGGAAGAGATGTCACTGCACATGGCATGTATACCGCTTACTGGTCTGGAGTAGACGAGACCGAGCGGGCATGCCAAGGAGTCGGTGTCATCCTTTCAGAAAGAATGGGTCAATGTGTGAAAGAGTATGAATGTGTTAGTCCAAGGCTGCTGTGGATGCGAATGAAAGTGGGCTTAAAGAAGTTGTTTGTGCTAGAGGTGTACGCCCCAGATATGTCTAAGCCCACTTATATCCGAGAGCAGTTTTGGGACATGGTAAGGCTGGTGTTGATGAAATGTAAGAAAAATGAAAATATTATTATGTTAGGAGATTTTAATGGAAGGGTTGGGGTGAAGAGGTCTGGTTATGAAAGGATATTAGGAACGTTTGGCGATGAAAGAATAAATGAGAATGGTGAAGACCTCCTCACCGTATGTGTGGAAAAGAATCTTTTTGTGGCGAACACTTTCTTTCGCCATAAGAGGATTCACATGTATACATGGGAAAGAGGGGATGATAGAAGCATGATAGATTTTATAATTGTGGATGAAAGAATGAGGAGCGCAGTGGTAGATACAAGGGTTTACCGGGGGTCCAACGTAGGGACGGATCATTACTTGGTCTTATGTCGAATTAATGGTCTATTCAGACGTTGGCGGCATCGGACATCGGTGTCTACCACTGCGTTACAGCGTATAAGAATAGAGAGGTTACAAGATGAAGGTGTGAAAGAGAAGTATAAATGCAGATTGAGGGAAAATATAAGTGGGTTGAATGAATTATGTATGAATGATTTAGAATTGAAGAATGTATGGAATAATATTAAGAAAGTTTTGGTGGATGCAGCCACCGAAGTATGCGGTGTAAGTAAGAGAACGAATGAAAGGAAAAGTAATACGTTGTGGTGGGATGATGAGGTACGGATGGAAGTTGAAGCAAAGAAGAGAGCATGGCTAGATTTACTAGCAACTAAAGCTGGTAATTCTGGCGGTATGAATGATGAGATTGAAAGAAAAAAGGCAGACTTTAGACGTATAAATAAGAGAGTAAAAGAAGTTGTTGAAAGGAAAAAGCAAGAAAGGATAGATAAGATTGATAGAAGGATATCTGATAACTTCCAGGCAAATATTAAAATGTTCTGGAAGCTCGTAAGAACTGCCAGGGGAAATTCAAAACAGCCTAGAATAAATGCTATACGAGACGAGAATGGCTGCATGCTGAATGATAAAGTTTCGAATTTAAAGAGATGGAAGGAATACTTTGAAAGCGTGTTTAAGAGTGAAGAGTCGTCTGGAATAAGTGAAATAGAAATTCCGGAAGAAGTGGAGAGAGGTAGGGAGATAAGTGTAGATGAAATAATGAAAGCAATGAAAAGCATGAAAGCAGGTAAGGCAGCCGGATATGATAGAGTATCACTCGAAATGCTGAGGGCTGGTGAGGGTGTGGTTACAGGCCTGCTGCACACCTTGTTTAATTTGTGTTGGGAACTGAAACGGGTACCGGAAGACTGGTGCAAAGCCGTTATAGTCCCAATATATAAGGGAAAGGGGTCGCAGCAGGACTGTAAAAACTACCGTGGTATCAGCTTGCTTAGCATTGTGGGTAAACTGTATGCTAAGGTGTTAATTGAAAGAGTTATGGAAGAAACTGATGGAAAAATTTGGGATGTGCAAGCTGGATTTAGAAAGGGGATGGGGTGTACGGATCAAGTCTTTTCCATGCGCATGATAGCGGAGAAGTTTTTGGCTAAAAACCAGAAAGTTTTTTGTGCGTTCATGGACTTGGAAAAGGCTTATGACAGAGTGGACAGGAATGTGTTATGGCAAACACTGAACTCATTTGGGTTGAGCGCTGGCTTGATACAGGCATTAAGATCTCTTTATAGGGACTCTAGTGCTTGTGTCAGGATCAACGGGGTCTACTCGGACTGGTTTGGCATTCATAAAGGTGTCAGACAGGGATGTGTGGCTTCCCCGTGGCTGTTTAAC